TTCTCAAAATAATAGCTCAAAGCTGATCAGATAGTTAGTGACAGAAAATGATATTAATATGCACAAAATTGTTAATTTATGGTTTGCTGAATTACCAGCTTCAAGGTATTTAGTACTTGTCCTTTATCGAAAGCGAAATCCTAAAGCAGAAAATCCCACAAGACCTTTGACTTTCGGCAAATCTTGGAGAGAAAATTCAATTTTTTCAACTAACACTGGATGAACTCAGTCGGCATGCATTGAGCCATTATTATCAGTCAAAAATAGGCTGCAATGCTTAATCAATAAACTAAACTTGGAATCACTCACGCATTATGGTTTACGACTATTACAAATGACGAAAAAATTGTATTCGCCACTTATCTAGGAATCGTGGTTATTAAAATTGATGGGTTTTATTGAATATGTCTACAGTGCTGTGACCAAACACTATTTCAGTGGCTTTTAGATGGATTCAGACGGATTGTGGTTGGTATAGATAATGTTTTTTATAGCAATGCCAGCAAGATCATCATTATCAGAAATAACGCAGCAAATAATAAACATTAAATTAAATTTACAGGGAGCATATTTCACAAATTATACAAATGTAGGTATTCATTTTTCACCTTGTATGCAAGCAGTTTATTTGCGACATTTAATATTTATCAAGGCCTCATTTACACCAGTCTTTCAACCAACTATAATGCAATTACTAACAATTTGCTTATATCATCTATACATAACAAATAGGCTAATAAAAACAAATTACCGAAAGGAGTCATTATTGAAAGGGTTCAGGTTCGAATCCTACAACCTGGGTGAGCTACCATGGTATGATTGGGCAAGTCACATTACTCCGATTGCCTCGGCAATAAATAACCAACTTGTGTTGCTATTCTGTAAAGCACCAAACAATAAACCTCTTTAGCTGGAACTCTGTTTTTGAAAATATATGTTAATCAAAGGCAGGTTTGTACCCGTATACTTTTTTCAACCATCTGTATGTAATTACCAAATGTTTTCCCATTTCAGCCATACATTAAAATCTTATTTGTACGTTTGACTTTGCGTATTAATATATATTTCAGTGCTCACTGCACAGTGAATCATCCCATTGTGTATTGGCTGACGCAAAACATGCTTTATTTTACCTGACAAAAGTACTGACAGACTATGTTACTGTAAAACTCATGAAAACAACACACCCTATTGTTTAGGCTATGTGTACCGTTACCCTGGAAATCATTCGATATACCGATAAAGCAACATTGACACCACTTTTCATAGTCTGCACACAGCAGCTATTACGCAATACTATTTTAAATGTTTGAAACGTTATGTTCATCGTGAAGTTTTTAAGTCATTTACGACTCATAGTTAAGTCCTATAAATCATGTATTCCTTGACTGACCGTATATCACGACCAAACATTTTGTCAAGAATAAATTTGTGATTTTTTTATACAATTGCAAATTTGTCCCACAGATAGTTTCGATCGGACGAATACTTTTGACAATATTTTAATCGCAGAAAACTGAACATAGAGTTCTTTGGAAAAAGCTTTTGTTATGCACTTAATTCAGGCAACACAAAGATTCGAAATATGTTTCCACAAGCAAAAGAAATAAAAAAAAAGAAAGCAAAAGAGAGACGAGATGGATTTGATTTAAAAAGTGAAGTAGTCACTTATGTTAGTCAAAATACATTTAGCAGTGGCCAGGATTCAAAAAGTGGTGGTGTGGTGTGGTGTTTATAATTTTTAACATAGCTTTTAACAATTTTTCAGTCATATCGCTACGATGTGTGCAATGTGGCAGTTTATAGTGATGTCTAGCACTGCGGCATCATGCCTCAGACATGTAGCATGATGTCCCACCCAGTCACATTATCCTGACACCAGGCTGACCAGTCCTTACTCTATCCTTTTAATGCTGAACGTCAAGCGAGGCAGCTGTTAGTATCATTTGTGTATGTCTTTGGTGTGGCTCGACCGGGGATAAAACCCACGACCTCCCGCATCCAAGGCGGACGCTCTAACCACTAGGCCACCGGAGCGGTTGATAAAAACAGTAACAAGCAGGATGCATATACCAATCATCGGCTAATAGCATCTTCTCTTACACGAAAATTAATGAAGTACTTTCGTATCAGAGAATTCACATGTAGGGACACGACTCCCACCACTCATTTTCCCCTCGTTTGACATAAATGACTTTGATTTGCCATCTCCATTCATTATTTCATGAACTAACGACGAACGTCTCGAGCACTTTTGATATGGATCGTCTTGATATTTCTTTATTGTCATGCATACCGGTATTTTTGAATAATAATCGCATTTTATATCGAAAAGATTTTGACCTCCATGTTATAAACTAGGCACTATATAACCAGGATTGTAGTATACCAATTAACCCTATTGAAACTGCATATACAATCTTTGACATGATATGGTATCTATTTTTGTCTGTCTGAAATTAATTAATCATCTCCTCGGGGGTTTTATGATTGGAAACCATGTTGTCGTTCTTTTTACTTTCTGCTCCTCATTTCCACTGAATATTAATCGCTTCAAATAATAAAGCAGGCAGTGTATTCTCGGCATCCTACATTGCGTGTTGACCAGACAAATACTCACCCGCTGACGCATATTTTCATCATGGTCCTTCGGGAAAATTCAGCAAAAGCAATGTTTTATACAAGTGATAAAATAACCATTGACTGCAATACTATCCCAAGTTATATTGGCGTCAGTGAGTTTTGCAATTCTATGATAATTCATTGCTCTTTATTCATCTTTTATCCTATGTTTTGTGTTTTGGCTTAATTTGCTTCCGTCGAGTACACATATTTGAAATATAGAACTGCAGACAAAATGAATAACTTAAAATAATCAGAGGCTGGTTATCATGCCTTAAAACATTTTGCAAAATGTTACTGGTAATTTAACTGAATACCGTCAACCTTCAGAATATGTTACGTATTATGCTGAAACTGACAAAGGCATGGGAATTTTACTACAACATGAGTATTTTAGACATACATCTGTAATACTTAACTAGCCAGAAATTAACATCCGGCAATTAAATAACAAACTTGAATGCTTACGTTATAAATGAACGATGCCGTATATTATGTGTACATGATAAAGTAGATTTATCGTCTTCGCAGGGCACCAAACAGTCATTATTTTGGAAACACAATCTGTAGGGCAATTATGAACAGCAATGACACTGAAGGTTAAATTTTCTTGCACATATCCACTTCGTAGAGCTCTAACTGTAGTCATCTAGTCGGCTCTATTACACTGTATTGTTTGGTGTAAAATTCTGAAAAGCGAGTCAATTAAATCTCTACGGAAAGCATTGCTTTCGTCTACAGTTCCTGAATTAATATCATGTTTCTCATGTAGGAGGTTCTTTCAAATGTGTATACGTGGAACATTTTTCAGCAACAGTCTGCGTTTTAAACATCCTCTGCTTACAACTGCCAAATTCTGACACGTATTAACAAGTCAAAAATTGGGAAAACACCCGAACTAAATAACAAATTTAATTAGATCTTTAAAGTTTGGCAAAAGCCTACATTTTCACTGAATTCTGTCAAACGGATCAATATCAAGCATATATCCTCAAAACCTAGCTTTAGGTTCCATAAACCCTATAATCTACGAGACAGACTGAAGAAAAGCCTGATTATCACAGTAAATGATTATCAATATGGAAAAACTATCAACCACTATACTGAACGTTATTCATCTATGCTCTTAATTATAAGCTAGATAATTTATTTGAAACAGTAATATCATCCACAACAGCAAGATAAGCAAGTGAATTTTTATAATGGCAAAACGAAACTATATACCGGTTTCAAATTTGCGTAGATGTATGTCGTCCTACAGATTATTCTTGTGTTCGGGGATGCAAGTTTTAATATTACCATTTCACCAGAGTCATGTATGTATCCATTGTACATCAGCATCATCATTTATGTGTTTAAATATTTTATCGACTTTATACATGCATTTATATGTAATAAAACTCCACATAACATTGGTTTACCAATACCGTACATACCAGCGCATTTTAACTTAAACAGAGTTTTAAACATCTTTCAGTACGTTTCCCATAACCATGGTAACATGAATAGGCAGAACAAAATCAAAACTTCCAGAAATTCAGAATGAAACATAACTTCAAGAAAAAAGACTATTTTAATGTTTTAATATTTTAAAATATTAATATTGCCATAAATTCAAACAGAAACATAACTTCTAAAAAGACAACTATTTTATTAGTAAGAGTCAAAATGTAAGTAATACACTGAACAGCTTAAAAATTAGTTAACATCCTTTAAACACGTTTTTGTAATTATTCCGATTTATGAATATGTCTTCTACTATAATAAATTGGTACCTTGTTTTCTCGTAAATATTATTGACCGTCTAGTATCCAGGAGCACGATGTGTTCGACAATAAATTGTTCGTTTTTAACAAAAGACATTAAAGAAGATTACTGATATTGTAGGAGTATAGTAATGGCTTCTCGCCTATTATACTTATAAAACTATTTTACAAAAATAGAGACCAGAATTACAACGGCAGTTTTCTTAGCGGACACGATTCACATAAAGAATTGCTGATCATAAACTGTAATATTCAGGACACTCTTTCGCACCGTCATGACTCTCTTAAATGTAGACTCCAAGCTGAAAAGCTCCAGACCATCAGTCGCGTCATATGCCGGCAGATTTTGATATATGCTGTTTGTTTGGAATAATCATTAGAACAAGTTATATAGTGTGTATGTGATTTGGATTTGTGTGATATCGCTACGATGTCTGCAGGGTGGCCATTTCTGGTGATGTCTAGCACTGAGCCATCATGCCGCAGATATGTTGTATGATGTCAGACCCAGTCACATTTATCTGACACCGGACCGACCAGTCCTAACACTAACCTCTTAAAACTAAGCGCCTAACGTGACAGTTGTTAGTATCATTTTAGATGTTTTCGGTATGACTCGGGTGGGGTAGGAACCCACGATCTCGCGCATCTGGGACGGACGCTCTAACCACTAGGCCACCGGAGCTATATAAATTATATACACTGTAGGCAGATCGGAGCTTAAGCTGATTGCAGTTTGAAGGACTTCAAGATTATACACGGTAATTTTACTCGAATATTTAACTTCTGCATAAAATACACTTGACAACTAAGGACACAGATGTGTGTTCCGTTTGATTGTTCTTTGTTCATAACAGCCAAATTGGATTTAATTCAATAAAAACTCAGGAAATGAAATTTTAATAACACTGACAGAAAAATCGCAAACAAAGGACAATTTTGAAAACAAAACTGATTTTAAGAAATAGAAGGATCTCGAATCAACTATTTTTCACAAAGCTAACTTAGCAACATTTAGAGTTTCTTCTGTTCTGGAACGCGCATTGTAGCCTCTACAAAGAAAGGTGCATTATTCAAAATAGTGCATTTTCCTTGTTGATAATTGAGACGCGTTATTCCTTCACCAATGCAATTTGAGTGGGATATTACTGAAAGGGAGCATTTTCACGTGTACAAATAAAGACGCAAGGTTACAAATTTAGCATTTTCTCTTGTACAGTTAAAGACATATAATTTTGAAAGGAGGATTTTTCTAAATTTCAATTCGTGCTAATTTTGGTTGTCTAGAATAATGTAAGATCCTACTGAAAAACCTGACTCCGAATCTGTCCTTTTATGATTAAGATAAAAGAAAATTGCTTCAGGTTTTATTAGCTATCATATAAGGATCTAACATCAACGCAAGGAACATTTATTTGATCTTCAAACGAAATCGTCTTTGACGATTCGCATTAAGAACACTTTGAACTTAGAGAATTCTCAAATTTCAAATTATGTTTCATTCATTAACACAAATTACGAACTTAGTGTAAGATTAAAAAGTAATTAGTTTCCAAGATTAGAGGCAATTTCCGTTTTTCTCCAGAAATTTATAAACCCAGCCTTAAAGCTACTGATTTATCGCACCTTCTTAAAATGACATATTTATCACGATAACAATGATAATATTATGCATATAGAGGGTCTATAGGTGATGAGTGCATGCACATGTTGGTATGGGGATCGGTGCGCACGGGTAAGTCGATAGGTACCATTATCAGCCGACACAGGTTCAACTCTCCGTAATCAAATTAAATTAAAGTATGTTTTTTATATATATATATATATCTATATATATATATATATATATATATATATATATATATATATATATATATATATATATATATATATATATATATATATATATATATATATATATATATATATATATATATACTTTAATATAATTTAATTACGAATTAAATTTAATTTAATTTAATTACATATATATATATATATATATATATATATATATATATATATATATATATATATATATATATATATGTGTGTGTGTGTGTGTGTGTGTGTGTGTGTGTGTGATAATAATTACATAATGGCTAATCAGTCATAGTATTTATCAGTGCACAGTCATTAGTGTAATATGAAGGTTTTTACCACACACAATGCGTCGTTCATTGTCGCTGGCAGTGAAGATCCCTATTATCAATAAATATTTCTTTATATTTTTGTTTATCGTTTCACACGAAGCATTGATATTAAATATTTTCATACATTAAATGTTGGTATATTTTATATCGTCTTTATATGAAAGGCAATCACAAATAGTTCTTGTTCTAAATGTTCTCTGGTATTCGTGAATCTAGCCAATATTTATAGGTTAAATGTTATTAACTTATCACACAATGCATGTTATCACACAAACGTGAGTTCTATATATATATGCTGAAAGAAATGGTGAACATCTAGGCATGAAAAACAGTATTAGGCACTCAGCTGGAAAATTGTGTATTTTGTGCACATAAAATTTGGAAATATTTTTATATAATCTTTTTATTAAATAAATCATAGATATTTTCAGAATTTACATGTATTTTTTTTTAATTTGGCCAACGTTTATCTGTTAAATGCTATCACACAATTACCCAAGGATGCTTTATAAGTATATTCTGAGAGAAATGATGAACATCTTCGAATAAAAGACAGAAATAGGCAATAGCATAAACTGGAAGCACCGGGCTTCCACTTTGGAGCATGGAAATGAACATGACAGATAGATATCGATAACGATTGCTCGATATGAAGATCAAAGACCAGGCATATTCTGTAGAATACTGTGTGCACATGCATCCCATCAGATCTAAATTGACAATACAAATTCAATTTTGTAGTCGACTGCATTTAATTACTAATATTCCAGATATTCGAACTACACGTTGTAAACATGGATAGAGGAATCTAGAACATGCCTAAATTTAACGTCATTTCGCCAGTAATATAAAAGGCTATGAGACCACCAGTTTTATTAAAATTCTTTGATCTTCTTCGAGTGGACTGTGAACAACGGACAACAAAAAATAATTAAAAAAAAACATTATTATTCACTGATTACATAAAATGCTAGATTACGTAAAATGTCAGATCTCTCGTAGATTATATGTTCACTACTGGACACATTCATTATTTGTGAACAGAACAGCACAAAAGAGCATCACTGCTAAACCACTTTCCTAACAACTGCATAAAACACCATCAATATCGCTGAACCACAATCTTTATAGTTTAAAATCACAAACGCACCATCTCTGCTGGACCACATTCCTTTCTAGTCCATAAAAAGATATTTGTGGACCCTATACTACTGAACTAATAAATAAAAGGAAAACTGAAGGAAGGAGCTGGTCTTTATATACGATTATTATTCATAAACACGTGAAATTAGCAACGCAAAGTTCTAATTAAGAGGACGAAGTACTTTATGCGTTAGGAAGAGATCTGCAATGGAAAATATTTATCATCAAACTCAACACCCTGACCTCCGTGGGTGGAAAGCGACTCCGTCAAGTTTACTATCCCATGAGTGAGCGGCTGACATGCATTTGTTTTATGGCGATAAGAAAGATGACAGCATCTCAAGGACAAAGAACTTATCATTCCCTAATGATATACCTAGGGCACTGTGATTATCATTCCCTAATGATATATCATTGACACTCATTGACACTGTACTTCTCATTCCCTAATGATATATCATGGACATTGTGCTTATCATTCGCTAATGATATCTCAAGGATAATTTGCTTCTCATTCCCTAATGATATGTCAAGGTCATTGTGTTTATCATCCTCTATTGATATCCCAAGGACAGGGCTTATCATTCCCTTAATGACTATTCCAAAGATATTGCTGACAAAGATTTTCAAAAATGTTTGCAAAAGAATTTTTATAAATATGTGTTTTCATAAACTATACACAAGTTTAGATGCACTGAATTATCGTTGTGAAAATAGATAAAATAACCGGGTAATGTTTTTACTCAGGTCATACAATCACCAAATTAAGTGTCAGTATGAACAAACTATCATTAACATTGTATGTATATGTGTATGCTTCCCTCTGTCTAAGGATTTTGGCGAGCTCATTCATAAGTGCTATGAGAAGTGTTTCACAGCTTCATATGACACGGAAACCATGCTAGCAGTCTGTTAGAATTTTAAAGTGATCTAGATGTTGCATCATGTTGCTGACTATGATGTGTTCAATCAGTCTGCAGCAGATACATATAAGGGAGACAGGTCTATAATTGATGACCTTGAATGTGTCTCCATTTTGAATATAGCTGTAATCTTTGCTGTTTTCCACATATCAAATACATAACCTGTTGAGATGCACATCTGGCAAATATAACTCAAATATGGTGCACACTCTTCAGCTAGATCTTTCATGATCCTTGCTGGAATCATGTCTGATCAAGTGGCCTTCTGTGGCTTAATTTTCGCAACAATATGCACCTTCTTCCGTAACGTGGATATGATATTTATTGTCAACGATATGAAATAATATCAGCATATATGTATTCATACGCCATATACAAGCTGCGTTGATGGAAATTTGTCAAATTTTGGCAGAGAAAATATCTTTTTTAAGTCAAAATGAGATCTTCATTTAAAATACACGAAGACAAAATTTTATTTCGTATTATGCCTTTATGCCATTTAATTTATTTATTTGGAGTCCAAGCCGTTAATTTATTCTTGTATGACGGGGTGATTTCCTGAGTAATACGTATCTGTTTGTATAACTTTCGGTAACTGTTTATGAACATAGTTATAGTGTATTTAGTGAGAGGACAAAGATGAAAACTTTCAATTAGAACCTACTCAAGTTCTCTACTAAATCATTTTAAACTGTTAGAAAACGAAATACAGGAAAAAGAGATACACTTTCTACAGAGAAATCTACTCCAGAATGTAAGAAAACAGCAACATAATGTACGATGAACAGAAAATGCATTCCAGTGGTAGTGGTCCCATCAACACTGTAAATTTAAGCGTGCAATAAGTTCTAGAAACAATTTCCTAAGTACCTGACATCATATATGTGGAACAAAAGATCTGTCATTGTTTCTTTAGTGTGTACCCCTATATGCATCTGGACAGGAATATTACAATCTGCTGCAAAAAGCACTGAGCTATCATGCTTCACTAACCCTGGGAAATATGTTATCAGTTATACAGACCCGAACTATTATTTGCTATGAATACCATTTACTACTCAACTTTGCGGTCTACAATATGTCAAAATAAATTTTCAAACTTGTATGAAAATTTAATTTTCGATAAAATTTTATTTTTAAAATTTAAATGTTTATTTAAATAGCCATTAAAATTTACATAATCGTTATTTATAAATTTCAAGCATATTTTCAGACAATATTTATCTTATATTTTCATTAGGTTTTTACTGCATTTAAAAATTTCTATACTTAAGGCAAATTTTGTTTCGGTTTCTCAAGAGCACTTGAACTCAAAATTTCACTCTGTGGAACACTAGCACTAAACACTTTCTGACAGTTGTCATATGTCTTGTTTTCAAGGAAATTCATAAGGACTTCATGTAGAAAATTGAAATAGGTATGGCATGCAAACATAAAATTTTCCATAACAAAATGGGCCTTTTAGGA